AAATAAAAGGGTCGCGTCTCCTTCGCGTCGAAAGGAGCCAGTTGAGGTGGTTCGGGCACCTAGTTAGGATGCCACCTGGGCGCCTCCCTAGGGAGGTGTTCCAGGCACGTCCAGCTGGGAAGAGACCAAGGGGTAGACCTAGGACCAGGTGGAGGGATTATATCTCTTCGCTGGCCTAAGGAGCGCCTTGGGATCCCCCAGTCAGAGCTGGTTGATGTCGCCAGGGAAAAGAAAGTTTGGGGCTCTCTGCTGGAACTGCTACCCCCGCGACCCGACCACGGATAAGCGGGAGAAGATGGATGGATGGATGGATGGGTCGCGTTAGAAAACAATTCACTCACAGATCCATAATCATGAAGGTGGAATCTAACTATATCGATAATAAAATGTATGGAGCCAGGGGTAGAAACTTGTTTTTTCTGCTGTAAAGTTGGGCATTTTAACATGGGGGTCTATGGAAATTGCTCCTTTCTGCAGCCATCGCCTATCGGCCAATATATGAACTGCAGTGTGTGGCACTTCCGTATTGGCTTCCCGGCTCTACCCCACAGTTTGCCGCTTGGTCGACACACAGCTCTGCATGATCACATGCAGCGGTGAGCGGACAAAACACACACCAGGTTAGAATATCACACGTAGCCTAGCTATTTGAATGACTTCTCAAACTACCGTAACTAGTTATAGATATGTTTAGTTTTACTGTCGGGTCACTCATTACTGATCCGCGAGCTGCATGATACTGACGGGCTGACAGGAGAGGGAGAGCGCTCCGTTTGTTATTCCCGTGTTATTATAAATTACTGTACACTTTTGAATAATGTAGTTAATCTACTATAATTAGTTTGTTTAATATCGAATCATATCAATTTGTTTTAAAGCACAATAAATAACAAAGAAGACCTTTGACCGGCACTTTTCTCATTTTGTCCGGAAGATTTAAACTTTAACGGACATGTTGACCGGAGAAAACATATTCTAACGGGAACTCTGGTGTGTGTGTGTGTGTGTGTGTGTGTGTGTGTGTGTGTGTGTGTGTGTGTGTGTGTGTGTGTGTGTGTGTGTGTGTGTGTGTGTGTGTGTGTGTGTGTGTGTGTGTGTGTGTGTGTGTGTGTGTGTGTGTGTGTGTGTGTGTGTGTGTGTGTGTGTGTGTGTGTGTGTGTGTGTGTGTGTGTGTGTGTGTGTGTGTGTGTGTGTGTGTGTGTGTGTGTGTGTGTGTGTGTGTGTGTGTGACCTTCATAAGAGTTTGATGGTAATGAGAATTCATCTTGTGGATGTTAAAGCTGCCTACCAGCTGAAAGTATTAGCATCAGATTCAGCATCAGCCCCACAGAGGGCACTGATCTGAATGAGGTCACACATCCTCTCTCCATTGTATCCCTCCTTCATGATATCACCTATTTTTCTTCCTACAGTACATGCCTTATAAGCTTCTGCAGAAAAAAACAAATGAAACGAGAAATTACAAACCAGTGCCTGAGTAAAACTGCAGCCAAAAACCAATGACGGCATCATTTTGTGTGTGTGTTCATTTGTGTGTGTGTGTGAGCAAATGTCTGAAGCGAAACTCTTTTAGTGTTATTAATATTAATTATGTGTGCTGTCAAGGATTGAAAGCAACATTTCATTGCTCACATTCCTTGTATTAAGTGCCTCATGATTTATTAATGGGTATGTTTAAGGTTAGAGAAAAGAAAAGGGAGGAAAGTAAGAGAAGGGCAAACTATAAATTGATTCCTCCCCTAAAGACAAAAGTCTATTAAAGTAATTTGTGAGCTCATTGAAATGTAGATTATTTGGCCTTTTTAGGCTTCGTTCATTAGATGGTGAAACTGTTGGGTATAGCTCTAACTGTCATGTTGATCCTGAATATTTTCCCTTCATTTATCTGGTTAAATTGATACCACATTTCTTGTTTTATCCTGCAACAAAGGCTCTTAGCCACCATACACACTTTACTGTTAAATATATATATATATTCCCACATAAGATGACCTTAGTCTCTCCCGCTGTCCCTCTCATCTCTCTCATCTGTATGCATTACATGTCTCTGCTTATCTGTTTACTGCCTCTGTAAAGCTGGAGGAGTCCATTCTCCCTCCCTGTTTAAAATGTCCTCTCTCAGTACACTGCGTATCCTACCGTCTTTCTGTCTTTCACACACCATCTGTCTGTCTCTGTTTCTCCTAAATATCTCTCACACCAGTTGGTCTCCTGCCTCAACCCCTCACCCCCTCCCAAAATCCCCACACCCTCCTCCTTATACAGTAGGACTTGGCATGTCGTTGCATATCTATATTATTGCACCTTGAAGAATGTTGTCTGTATGTGTGTGTGTGTGTACGCGTGCTAACATGTTCTATTTAATGGAGGCTCCCTCTTGGCACATCGGACAAATTGATCAGTTGGTTTGCCAGCTGTCCTGGCAGTCTCCTTCTGTCTCTCTATTTCTCAAACCATCCCCAACTTGTACACCTTGGCAATCAAAAGTGAAAGAAGAAAAAGTATTGTAATGATTGGAGTGGTCTCCCTTACAAGCATCATCTTTTTTTGTTCTGCCGTTGGATGCATTTTGGAGATTCTTACATTCTCCCATCGGCAGGTGTCTGCCGGCCCATTTTGACTGACGTGACCTTCCCTGGCATCGGCTGCTGGCGTGCTTTCCCATGATCCCATGCTGTGGAGAATGATGGGCAGCGCGCAAAGCCAGCTCCTTTTGTTATCTGAGCCGCACATATTGTCTTGATAGTACACCCTATTATTAGACACACATTTCCAAGGTGGGCTGGCTAAATGTGTGTCCACGCTGAATTGAAGAGATAAGTCACATCTGCAGCCAGACACCACTATGGCTAGCTTGCTTTTAAGCATGATAGGTAGAGAATGCAATCCATTTCTGTTCTCATAGATCTATGCATAATTTGGCCTTGATTTGGCTGCTATTCACGCTTGATGTCCTTGGCGTGGTGAGGGATGGATAGTGGCAGCACGGTCAGGAACAAAGAGAGTCTTCTCCAGTGCTGCCTGACAGGGAGTGTGTGTGTGTGTGTGTTTCTGTTATGTCCCCATGCTTGGCTCTGCTGTGAGCTGAAAGCAAGAGGCTTTTCTCTTTGTAATGACAGACATTAGAAAGTCGATTACAAGGTTTTTACAGCCTGCAACTCACAGGGAAACACACATGTACACGGGCGCAGTAAAACACACTCACTTACTCTAGTCTGAGCCAGGAGAGGCTGACGAGGCCTGCTAATCGATATGTGATGGCAGGCCTTTCATGCGCGTTTGGAGTAAAAGTGGCTGAGTTAAAGAGGTGGTATAACAGACACTCCTTTCAGCTTTCGAGCTTGTGTCTTGATGAATGTTCATAGGCCAAAATAATTTAGGGACAGCAGCTTTGTGTTGTCTTTGCACCTGCTGTGTGTACCTCAACTTGGCTGTCTCGCAGACAGGACCATCGTCTTCTTTCTGCATAATTGTTTTCTAGTGTGACACAGTGCCAGTGGAGGGAGAGGAGCTCTAGCATCTTTACCCACACAACTCTCAAGACCTCTAAATCTGTGCTCACACCTTCAATTCTATCACTATTTCAAATATTGCTGTTGCTCTCTTGAAGGGCTGGTTGCAGAAGTAGCTCACAGTCCTAACATCAGCTAATAACTTATGCGTCTTAGTTAGCTAAGTTGCTGACATTAGCCAGTCAGTAGGGACAACTAATTAGTATTGATTGTTTTAATTGTTTGTCTCGACTTCATTAAACAATCTCATCCTTATTTTTGGTAAGCTTCCAAAAGCGAGAGGGCTCTCTAGTGTCCTCACACAGGGGAAACAAATTGATTGTGTGTTTTAGGAGTCTTCAGCACTGCCTCATCTATCATGTTCTTGTAACACAACACTTCATTGTGCCTTGTCACCTAATAAACCAGCAAATTGTCACTTTGTGGACAACAAAATTCATTGTAAACTTGCTTAACATGATGCGTTAACTGTACACTGTCCAAGTGGATACAGGCTCTATATGAGCTGTGAGTGCCTTTTTAATATCAGTTGGGTTCATGTTTGGAAAAGGGAGCTGTTTGGAGCATAATAGAGAGTTGAATTCAGGAAATAGAAAGAGATGGGCAATGTGCGGAGAAAGGTAGAATGCAAAGCAGAGATGAAAAATAAACTGATCGGGGGTAAACAGATATTTAGGGAGAATATCAAAACGGAAAAATTAAAGAAAGAAAGTGGAAGATTGAGCATACCAGAGCTTATAATGTAGATCTGCTGTTTAGTATACAGTCTGAGAAAGAAGAACAAAGTATTGAGCGGTAGCTGGCGGCCTGATTTCACACCCATTACAAAGGCACGGCTAGTGGAAAATGAAACTGCATAGAATCATAGTGTAAAATAACCTGCCCGTTGTCACACATAAGCTACTGTGATATGGTTTGTATTCTGGTGTGATGCTCATGTAAGGTCATGACTGCTTATCACTATCGCCCGCATTCCCACCTTTTCGTCTTGCAATGACTGTAGAGGGAGACATTTTTTAAAGCTAGCAAATAAAGTTGGAAATGCGGAAAACAAAATGAAGTTAAGGGGGTTTTGCAGTTGCGTGCCTGCGCATTGGTTTGGCTTGTTTTTCTTTGCCGGTTCAATCTAGTAGCAGGCGTTGATGCGATGTTCCAGGGCCACTGATCACACGTAATGTTAGAATTGTGTTTGTCAGACGGATTTAGCCCATCTCTCTACTTTACCCCTCTAATCATATATTGTATCTCTTCTCTACTTGCCTCTAAACTCAGTTGCTTTCAATTTTTTCTCTCCATTCATTCCTATTTCTTTCTCTCACAAATATGTAAGCGAGATAAAACAACTTTTTTCTCTCTGGAGAATATCTCGGTTTCAAATTCCTTCTACACAGTGGGAATTGCGTTCATGCTGTTAAAATATGACTCTCAATGTGATATCCATTTCTCTGACATATCTAATGAATTATATATCTGTGTGTTTTTTTCCAGCGTGTCCCCATGGAGCCTACAAGATGTCCTCCAGGCAGCAGGAGTGTTTCCCCTGCCCGGCCAACAGCAAGGCAGAGGAGGAAGGATCGGTGGAGTGTGTGTGTGAGGAGGACCACTTCCGAACCCCGCTGGACACACCCTCAGCCGCCTGCACAAGTAATACGATTATTTTTGTTTGTGTGTATCAGTGGCGAACCGTGTCTATCACAACTTGACCTTCTGTAGACACACACACACACCCCCCGCCGCCGCCGCCGCAGATACGATTCTCATTTATTCATTCTATTTACATTTTATAACATTTTATTTATATAATTAAATAGATTTTTTTGTTTGATTTATCTGAGTGTTTCAGGGTATTCTCTGAATACCTTGAAGGCCCTGCCGGTTCGCCACTGGTGTGTATGTAGACCTTACTTCCACACCATATCACTCACACACTGTATCCTTTCCTTTTTGCATTAAGTGAGCAATTTCATGTTTGTGAGCCAATCATTATCACTCTCCTGCCCTTGCTGTTTGCCTCTTTATCCTTTAAAGACCGCTTTTACCCGTCCTTCACCCCAAATCCTTTTATCCACCTCCCTTTTTTTTCATCTCATCACCTATTCTCCGTCTGACCTTTCCGTCTCCCTTTCCCCAGTCTCTGTCTCGCCATATATCCTCATCCTCCCATCCCCAGCTCCTCCTCATCACCCCATTTCCATGTCTCATCTCCCCCAACCTTCACCTCTCCTTCACCTCCTCTATAATTGAATTCCTTTCATGTAGAAAAATCCATCCAAAAACATGTCAGATGTTTCTTTTAATCATCCCAGGAGGCTGTCTCACAGCTAGAGACGTGTCTTGTGCTGCTTTTCTGATTATAAAGTTGTGAGTTTTTCAAAGAGGTTTTCTTTTAAGATCAAAGAACATGTATCTTTGAACAAACATCATTTTTTTCCCTTCATATTGCTCATTTAAAGTGTTAGTTAAACACTACATTTGCTGTCTTGTTTGAGAAAAAGATAAAAAGAAGGGATATATTTTGAGGGATTTATTTTACTTATTAGACTTTGTAAATGTTAAGGATGTCGGTTAAATCCAATCCTTGTTATTCTAAAAGTGAGAGAAAGGATCCTTTTAATAGTACACATTATATTTTGTCTAAAGATGGGCTTTCCCCCTCCCCACCTGCGCCTAATGATATACACACATTATGTCTCCGTCCACTTCATACAGTTTTCCTGCCTTTTAACCTTTATCCCTTTTTACCCCCCACCCATCTTTCATCCCTTATACAGTCTCCCCTAACATATGTATTCCTCCAGAGAGCCCATCAACCCAATTTCCCCATCTTTTAACTTGACCTTGTACATTCTCTCCACCTTTTATCCCGACATTACAGATCCATTTTCTGCTATACATCCATTATCTACCTCTATACCGGACCACACCATTTTTTTCCTACCCCCCTCCACTTTTCCCTTTTTGACCCCTGATCAACATTCCACTCCTTTCTTTATGTCTTTCTCCTTATCTTGGCCACTCATCATTCCTCTTTCTACTAACTGCCTCTTCACATTTCCCTTCCTCTTCATCGGCTTTGTCCATGCGCGTTATCACCCCTCATTTCTTTCCTCTGTCAAACTGAAATCTCATCCCTTTATCCTCGAGGGACAAATCCCATGATCTGATCCCCACTGTCTACGCATTATCCATTCATCCCTCACCTATTACCTTTTTCACACCTCTTCTCACATACCGATACCCTTCTCCTCCAATAAAGATGCACTACAAGGCCAATAAGACAAAGACCATACAGGGAAGCCCTATTGATTTCTACACAGCGTATTGATATGGCTTAGTAATTAGATGGAGGAATAATGGGCTCTATGGACCGTGAGTGCTGAGGACAGTAAAACCCGTGGGGTCACAAGGTCTGTGCGTGCATGTTTGTGTACGTTCACTTGTGTGTGCATGCGTGTGTGTGGTCATACTAGCTTATATGGTAACGGCGATGGAGGGGTGTGATTACAATATTGATCGCTGAGCTCTCTGATCCCGGTGCGATAACATTTATAGCAGCCTAATGACCACCTTAATTATACTATTGATTCGGTAATTATGATCTTCCCCAGATTCGGCTAATCCACCGCATGGTACCCAGGAGAAGGAGAGAGATAGAGACAGCCGGATGAATCTAGAACTATAGGAATAAAAGAAAAAAGTAGATTTAGCCAGATTAATGAAGTTTGATATGTATACCTTATCTTAGCAATTAGATAAGTAGTTCATTAACCCTATCCCTTTGCCATTCATGCCTACAATAGCCTACTTTGTTTAAAATGGTAAAAGTCACTGCTGTCTTTTTAAAATGATTAGCTCTATATTCCTTTACTAATCCTGTAATATATTCAAACATATTGCATTACAGAACATTTAAATATGTGGTAGTGGCATTGAAGAGTTATTCTGAAACAGTGGAAAGAAATGCCCCACTTGGGATAGAGAAATATTTATTTGTATTCATGTTTGGCAGAGTGGAACTGCCGCTGACAGGAATGTAATGGTATTGATTGTAGCATAATAACTATAACAAAAGAAATATGTTCAAGTATTGCATGTTCTTTGTCAATGTGCAAGTCTGAAAATGGATTTTTGAAAACCAATGACTTCCAGGAAAAAGAATAAAGTTGCAGAATTTATTTTAATTGTTTATTTAGCAGGCACAATGCACAGTAATGAACACTTAAAACATTCAAATGTGTCAAGCGTAACAGTGCCAGATGTAGCTTTGAGCTCATTTCCATCCGCAGTCCCTCACATAAAACATTTAAGAAGATTACATTTTACAAACATATAATAATGCCTCACGTAAAGAAATGCATGAATGCAGAATTAAGTGAGCCTTAGCAGCAGTGTAAAACAACAAGTATTGTATCTGCTTCAGAACATCCTATTTATAATCAAAAACGTTATTATAAATTGGACATAATCACTTCAACTTAAGCCATTGTTTTGTGTGATTTGAAGTGCAGATGTTGCCATTCTTTGTTTTTGGTGTACGCCATATTGTTCGGTGCAACCAGATATGACATAATGGCTAGAGGAGGTAAAACCAAATGCTGAGTAAGACATTTTTGGGAAACCAAAATGTTACAATAAGCTATCAACAAGTCAAAACACAACGTGAAAGGGTACTCAGAGCGGACAACGTTGTGATAGCAGCCTGTCAATCTCAAAGTAACCAAGCCCAAAAACAGACATTTGTTACCTTTTTATTTATAACTTGAAAAAATATATATGTCATGCTGTGTTGAAGAAGTCTTTAAACTACATCTTGAGGGACTGATAACTTACAATCATGTTTACAATGTGAACTGAAGTAATAAAATAAAGAGAGAAGTGAGGTAATTTTCTCATAGACTTCTACCGACCTGGTCTTGTTTTTTCGACCCGAGGAGTCGCCTCCTGCTGGATATCAGAGAGAATGCAAGTTTAACTGATTTTCGCATTGCGTCACTTTTCCTACCTGAGATTGCCGCCCTGAGCTACAGCCCCAGACTGTACGCCAATTTGAAATAGCGGCCAATAGTAACGACTTTAGTGACCGTAACATGATGCCATTTGGCCATAGACTAAGATATGGAAATGTTTTTAGATGTAAATTATACCCTTGAAAAGCCCTCTAGAATTAGTGCTACTGAAACTAGAAGTTGAATTACATCCTAAAACTATTTTGTAACTTTATTATTATAATAATAGTATTTTTCATTTAAATGCCCTTCTTTAGTAGATACCTTATTTTTACTGTCCCTCATGGACAATGAGTCCAATAGTGGATTAATATCATGAGTCACGGAAATCTTCAACCATTCTTCAGGGAAATGCATACATCTAGGCTCTTTATAGACTTTATTGGAAATATTGTGAATACAACATCAAGATTTCATTTTCTTAGATTTGATTCATTATGTTGGAGCAGCATTCGACAGGGAGTCAATGAGTCATAAGTAGACAGGGGAGGGGGGTACAGAGACAGATGGAGAGTTGAGAGAAACCAAGAGAGCTGTGTAGGTAAGGTTTAAATAACTCATTTTGAGGATGATGAGAGAAAAAAGGGAAACTTCAAGAGAAAAAAAGGCAGAGAAACGAAACTACGTGGAGATGTGAATGAAAGGCCCAGCTGTGTCTACGTCAAATGTGTGTGTTCACACGCTGACTGCTCTCCGGGCTTATGCAACTCTGTGCTCCATGTGTGTGTGTGAGCTGTGGTGTGTGACGCCACGCCCAGAGCTGCACACCGTCACTTATTCATTACACAGCACATGCACACGCATACAGGAACACATACAAAATTCATGGCCTTTAATGGGCCTTAGCGCTATTCACGCTGAATAGCGCTAAGGCCCATTAAAGGTCCATGTGTCGGGACCTGGAGGAAAAGGCACAGGACAGGCAGGACACTGATTTAGTGATGAGATGAAGTAGTTTAGCCTTAGTTTTTCATCCCTTTTTAATACTGGCTGTATATTAAAATTGTAGATTTTTTTTGTCACATGTGGTTGAATTTAAAGCAAAGTCTGGATTCATCGGCCTTGATAACTCCGGTATAATCCAGTAACACACTTTTATTGTCCTGTATTATCTTCCGTGATGCATGTGGCATATCACAACCCTCCTATCAAATCACATACGTGTTCCAGGAGAGTTAAATACATTTGTCATGGTACCTCACCTTTATGTACTTCTGGTGAGTGAAGGATTTGTTCCACGCAGCGCTGTCAATGTCACTAGATTATGGGAAAATGTGGTATCCATGCAGATACACAAAGGGTAAAGTCATTGTAGGTCATCCAAACACATGAACTGCATCTAAGTGCTTTTCTCTTTCTGCATCATCAATAATCCCTCTTATCCAAATCCAAGATTTAAGTAATCATCGTAGCAACAACTGCTCATGTTGAATTGCCTTTACCCACGAGGGTCAAATGATTTTCATCAAACCAATTGTTTCTTATCATATCCTGTTAAGGCCAGTCACTTAGGAGGTAGGACCCAATTGCACGACCCGAGAGACAGAGGTAAAGTATTGGTAAAATACTTTATTCTTCCAAAAAGCAGGCAAGATGAACAAAAAATGGACACTAACTAATCTCAGATTGAGAACAAAATGAAAATCGCTCACGTGGTGAGGAACAAAACTTAACCATAGCATGAAGAGAGCATAAACCTGACTGTGGCAAGAGACAAGACCTTCCGTGGCAAAAGACAAAATAAAGCACTGACCATGGCAATCGACAAAAACGAACTGACACTGAACACTGGGAGACAGGGGAATTTAAACACAGGGCAACTAGACACAGGTGGGAACAATCAGGGGCGGGGCTGACACTGATGAACACAGAAGACACAGAAGACACACCCATAACAAGACATACAAAACTAAAACGTGACATAACACAAGAATCATGACAGAACCCCCCCCTCAAGGGGGCAAGGCAGAGTTCAAAAAGGGGAACTCGGGCGGACGGCCCGGGGGCAAGGCAGAGTTCGAGGTGGGGGTCTCGGGCGGACGGCCCGGGGGCAAGGCAGAGTTCAAGGAGGGGCGAAGACCACAGCTCTCAGGGGACCGGGCAGGAGCCGGTGTTGACCAGACAGGAACCAGAGCCGGTGGGACAGGTGATGTTGAGGCCTCCAACGAAACAGGACATGGGGTTGGCAGGGCCCCCGGTAGGGGAGTAGACGGCGGGACCTCCAATGGCACAGGACACAGGATTGGCAGGACCCCCGGCAGGAGAGTAGATGGCGGGACCTCCAACGGGACAGGACACAGGATTGGCAGGACCCCCGGCAGGAGAGTAGACGGCGGGACCTCCAACGGGACAGGACACAGGATTGGCAGGACCCCCGGCAGGAGAGTAGTCGGCGTGGCCTCCAACGGGACAGGACACAGGGTTGGCAGGACCCCCGGCAGGAGAGTAGTCGGCGGGACCCCCAACGGCACTTGAGTAGGGACTTGAGTGGGAACTCGAGAGAGAGGGCTTGAGAGTGAACTCGAGAGGAAACTTGAGAGTTGGCATGAGAGGTGACTTGAGAGGGATCTCGAGAGGGAACTAGAACGGAGACTCGAGAAGGGACGAGAGAGAGAGAGAGAGAGAGAGAGAGAGAGAGAGCTTGAGAGGAAACTCGAGAGGATACCTGAGAGGGAACTGGAGAGGGGACTTGAGAAGAGACTCGAGAGGGGACTTGAGAAGAGACTCGAGAGGGGACTTGAGAAGAGACTCGAGAGGGGACTTGTGTCGGTCGGTACGCCGACAGGACACGGGGAGCTGCCGTCGGCCGGAGAGCCAGTCCTGGAGCCGAAACTGGAGTTGGGACCATGGCTACTGGGGCCGGTACTGTCCCCTCTCAGGTATCCTCAACCATGGCTGCTGGGGCCAGGACTGGGGCTGGGACCATGGCTGTGTGGGCCGGTTCTGTAGCAGGGACCATGGCTGCATGGGCCGGTTCTGGAGCCGGAACCATGGCTGTGGGGACCGGTTCTGGAGCCGGAACCATTGCTGCTGGGCGCGGAGCGGAAGCCTGGACCCTGGCTGTGTAAGCCAGGTAATGGAGTATGGATGCATGGCTGCGTGGGCCGGTACTGGTGCATGGATCCATGGTCTTGTAGGCCGGTTCTGGAGCCGGAACTGGGGCTGGAACCCTGGCCTTGCGTCTCTTAGGAGTCTTTTGGAGGCTTCGTGGACCTCCAAACGCCAGACCAGACCCCAAGAAAGGGTCAGAACATGAAGACTGGCACTCAGGGCTACGTGAGAAAACCCTAAGCCACTCGGGCAACAAGCTCCAGAGCCAGGGCTTGTGAGCAACCTCCTGACGTGCCTCCTTCAACGCAGCCTCTCTACCCCGTCTAGATGAGGCGCCTTTCCACGTATAAAAAATGTACTCCAGAGAGTATCCAAGACGTTCCGCCTGTAGCATCAAATGGGCTGAGTCTGCTGGGTCCATAATGGTCAGTTCGTTCTATTAAGGCCAGTCACTTAGGAGGTAGGACCCAATTGCATGACCCGAGAGACAGAGGTAAAGTATTGGTAAGATACTTTATTCTTCCAAAAAGCAGGCAAGATGAACAAAAAATGGACACTAACTAATCTCAGATTGAGATGACAAAAAATTTAGAACAAAATGAAAATCGCTCACGTGGTGAGGAACAAAACTTAACCATAGCATGAATAGAGCATAAACCTGACTGTGGCAAGAGACAAGACCTTCCGTGGCAAAAGACAAAACCTGACTGTGGCAAAAGACAAAAAATAAAGCACTGACCATGGCAATCGACAAAAACGAACTGACACTGAACACTGGGAGACAGGGGAATTTAAACACAGGGTAACTAGACACAGGTGGGAACAATCAGGGGCGGGGCTGACACTGATGAACACAGAAGACACAGAAGGGGTGACAGGTGAAAACAATCAGGAAATTAGACACACCAGGGAAACTAACGACAGACATGAAAACACGGGGGGAAAGACCAGACAATACACAGGGAGGAAAACATGATAAGGAGAACAGAAACACACCCATAACAAGACATACAAAACTAAAACGTGACATAACACAAGAATCATGACATATCCTCATCATATCCTGGATGAAAACGTATTAAACTGAGCCAATGATCATAATACCCAATGCCCTCAGTCCAACAGTCATGTGAAAATGTTTGAGCATTCTCTTTTCATACAGGTAACTTTGTTTCATGTGAACATGTTATTGCTTTCATTTACCATATTATCAAGCCCATTCCATGAATGCCCATCCCCACATTTACATTTTCTGAGATCACAATAAGTGGATAACAAGAAGAGTGCAATATTTCAGAGCACAGAATACTGCTGCTATGATCGCTCTGGGGTGTATAATCGGCATGCTATGATTAAATAAAATGTAAAATCCTCTTCAATTCCTGCATAACAAATTCAGAAGCGAGGACGTGTTTGATTAATTATTGATGTTTCTAAAAGAGAGAATACAGCAGAGGTGGGAAGTAGTGGAATACAAATACTTTGTTACTGTACTTAAGTACATTTTTCTGGTATCAGTACTTTTCTCCACTACACATTTTTCTGACGACTTTTTACATTTTTAACACAAATACCTGTACTTTCTACTTCTTACATTTTCACAACAGGTTTGTTAGTTTAATTTTAATGTGCATTTGGTGGCGTGATCATTATTATTTAGAGTCATTGCGTGCCTATTGATTTTAACACGATCCGTGTATCCATCATTTCCTGGTCTTCTCTAAAGAAGAAGGACCAATGAAAACGTTGTCATGTTGCCATTCATGGAAACATTCATTAGCTAACAATGACATCATTGTTCTATTAATATAAAGGGAGGTCAGGTACTCTTTAAAACAGATGGGTACTTTTTACTTAAATACATTTCGAAGCCCATACCTTTTTACTTTTACTTAAGTAAAGAAGTTTAGTCAGTACTTTTACTTTTACCAGAGTATTTTGAAACGCGAGTATCTGTACTTCTACTTGAGTAAAGGATGCATGTACTTTTGCCATCTCTGGAATACAGTGCCCTCTCTTTCTCTGTGTGCCTTTTTTTGTTCTAAAAAATGGCTACGGGGATTGTTGTAATAATCCAAAATGCAATTGTCTTACTCTCCAGGGCCCCCCTCCCCGCCTAGAGACTTGGTGTACACCCTGAAGCAGTCCACACTGATCTTAGAGTGGGCCGCACCCTCGGACACAGGCGGCAGGGTGGACCTGACCTACAGCGTGGGGTGCCGGCGATGCGTTGGGAGGCAGTGTGAGCCGTGTGGGACGAGTGTGGGCTTCGTCCCTCAGCAGGTGGGGCTGACGGAGAGGACGGTGACCCTGGTCAATCTCCTCCCCAACACCAACTACACCTTCACTGTCGAAGCCTTGAACGGAGTGTCAGAGCTGCTGCCCAACAAGCGCTTCTACACCCAGGTCAACGTGTCCACAAGCCTGCCAGGTAAGTCCCACTTTGACCTTTAAAAACAACCACACACGCTACACACATTCACTGCAACAAGTCCTCCAACTCATACGACCAAATGGGTCGATTGTTTAAGCCCTTATTACGACCAAATATGTTGTTTGTTCAAGCGCTTAATACGACCTATAATTACGTTTTAAAGTTGTCGGCCTCTAGTGCTCCCGTTGAATGCAAACGTTACAGATGGTCGTTTATTCACAAATAACCCTCTCTGTAAAATCCTAAATTGTAGGATAGTTTGGCCATTAAAACGCTTTATGATTAGATTTCTAGCGAGAAGTATATATTGTACTTTTAGAATCCACGTCCAGTCGTTATGTAGGATCTATAGTTTGATAGATATTACGAAGATTATTTGAGGTTTCGTCAGAACGTGTATATGCGGCAAGCTTCCATGTAAAGTTACGGGTTGAAAACAGTATTTCCGGTCTCGACGTTTTCATAATAAAACTAATGATCAAATGATTTAACAGTGATATCTGCAGTACTCATCCACTAAAAAACATCAGTTTATCCTAGTTAATTATACGACATTAATTGGTTTAAATTGTGTACAATGCTTTTGTGTTTTTCCCATAGGGTTTTCTCTTTCGATTCTGAGAGACACATTTCTTTTTTCAGAGGTTTTGATAGGCTAAAATCACGCCGCAATGCACGTCGGGATATGGTGTTTATGTGATATGAAATCGGAAAACATTTAAAAATTAAAAAAATAATACTTTATTCCGAGTGTTCTTGCTTTTCTCTTTGGAAGTCATCACATAACGGCATTGTAATACACGGTTCGGCTGCATTAAATATTACATATCTGCCGTAGATATGTATTTATAGAGCCCTGATCAGAAGACCTTTTGACAAACTGGAAGAGATGCCGCCAAAACTGAATACGTGACGTGGACCATAAATATATCAACAATTAAACAACATCTTCCATTTCTTTTCACACAATACGTCTCCTTGCAGTATCAACACTAATTCGGCTGACTTTTATATTTGATCCAATAAGTAGATAGTCTGTATTTACACCATAAAGGTGCACAGCTGATAGAAAGGGACTTTTTTGTAGTTTTTAAAGATATTACTGATTTTCTGAACTACCTTTCCAACTCCTCATGCAGTTGACTGTTACAGGTCTATACAAGTTTATGGTACAATGCATAAGCTTCACATCGAGAGACTGAAACTGTATTTTCCTTTACCGTTCTGTTTTAATTTCACAATAAAGTGAATAGTCATATTATGTTTGATATTATTATGTTTTATTAACTAGACCACTGGTCTAAACCGTACCTCCTAGTGGTAAAGCACGTTATTGAATTTAGTTGTTGAATAAGTTATATTTGATGAAAACATTTAAATATTAAGAGTAGCCTACATACAAAATAGGGGTTAATGATAGAAATATAGAATAGAAAATATCAAGAAGATACTGTGATCTCTACAATAAAACAGTTTAGTGCAGGACGTCCAAATATATTAACAGGAGGATGTGCAAAACAGACAAACTGATAAGGCTGAATTTTACTCAGGTGTAACTAAAGTCTGATTTAAGGGTTGTTTATATTTCACATCATTAATCAGAATCTGCAAAGTAACAAAAATAAATGTAGTAGAGTAAAAATACCAGGTTGTCCTCTGAATTGTAGTGGAGTAGAACAAAGTAGTACATGCTGCTGTAACAAAAACATTTCCCAACTTGGGATCAATAAAGTATCTTATCTTAAGATGATCGATGGCTACTGCCATATATGCTAAATGTGCATCCGAACCTTGACAAGTGCATGTTTCAGGCTTATCAATTAACAACAGGAGGGGTCACAGACATAAGACCAGCTGTTAAATAAAGCTCTTCTGACCTTAGCTGTCATGTGGGTATATTAATGCTGCCCATTATGGGCACAAGCAATTTTCACCCATGTATTCATTATATGTTTTAAATTTGATAACACCAATGTGTTTCGTATCCCCTAAACCTCCAGGGATGTATACAGTTTAATACTGGCAACTTCTAATTGTGGGAAATACGAAAACGTCTTATAAAACTATAATTCCCAGTAGAGACGTGCCATAGAACATATTGCGAAACACACAATAGCCAGCATGTGTAATTCTGGGGGGGAGGGCTGGGCTGGACCTGTCCAAGTCCAGTTTTGGATAGTCTGGCGTGGTTCCATTCCATTTCAAAGAGCTGTTTGACATTCGGCGTAACCTTGTCACACTGCCACTCCAACATCCAATCACAGAGCTTGAGGGCTAATCACGGGGTTTGTAAAGCAAGGCGGATGTTGTAGTCCCAAACGATAGCTGGGGATTCTGGGTAGTGTAGTGTCTTCGGAAACTCTGTAGTGTCTAAACTCCGAAAAAACGATTTGTTTTTCCGAATCGAAGGTTAAAAACACAAAAGCATTGTACACAATTTGAACCAATCAATATTGTGTAATTAACAAGGATAAACTGATGTTTTTTAGTGGATGAGTAATGGAGATATCACTGTGTAATCATTTGACATTGAGGGGAATACTTCCGGTTTTATTATGAAAACTTCGAGACCGGAAATACTGTTTTCACCCACGCTAACTTTACATGGAAGACACGTTCTCCTGGCGAGACCTCAAATTATCTTCGTATATCTATCAAACTGTAGATCCTACACATCCACTGGACGTAGATTATAAAAGTACAATATACACTTCTCGCTAGAAATCTAATAAAAAAGCATTTTAATGGCCAAACTATTCCACAATTTAGGATTTTCCAGAGGGTAATTTGTGAATAAACGACCCTCCGGAGCGTTTGCAATCGACAGGAGCATGTTGTTTCTTACACGGCCACTAGAGGTGCTACACTTTAAAACGTGACTCTGGGTCGTATTTAGCTGCTGAACAATCGACCTATATGGTCGTTTTTTGTAGGAGGACAGGCTGATTCACTCACATGACAGCATGTGCAAGGAAAGGGCATTTTACATTTACAAGCCTGCACACTCAGGAGAACAGCTGAGCAAGAATGAGGTCACACTGCATTTAAAAAAAAAAAGATAAAGAGGATGTACTTAGGACAAACCCAACACACTTGGAAAGCTCAGCTCTAAATGAATTTTGAATTAGCTTGCACTGCATGTGTCTCTTAATTTGAATATCTTTTACTTAGGCCACACTTTAAGAAAGTCCACAGTGATCTTGCTTATTTGACAGTATTTGTTTTTCAGGAGATTAAGATACAACAGTGGTGTTTTGCTTTGTGCTGATGTTTAAAACCCTGGCTGTGGGGAAAAGATTATCTTCGCTCTGGGTTTGTTCTTTACAGCATGTAATCTCTTGTGATCCGTTTACTACAAGACAGCCTCACACGATTAATCTATTGCCTTAGCTTTGTGAAAAAGCACCTCTGACGTTAAGGTTTCATAAAGGTATATTCATTTCTCTTAACGTTGGAGGACGGAGTTGCTAATTCAGCATGCATGGGTTGGCTGCTTATTCATACAAAAAGCCACAACGTTCATGCATACACAATCACAGATGTAGAAACATGGACACTCTTGCATGTGCTGTGTAAGTCTATGTTCATAAATAGATGTGTGCACACTCAGACACACAGTGACCTTTGATTACGCTTGTAATTTATGTTAACACTCCACATGCATGCATCAACATAAAGTTCTGTAAACACATAAGGCTTTATGTAACCAAATGTGCATCCAGTAGACTGATTCTTATTTGTGTTTAGCAAGACAGACTCTTTCCCCGTACTGTGCCAGTCATTGCAGACGGAGCACAAAAGTCTCGCCTGGTGGAGGTGATCTCATTTTCATCAGCAGAAGCCTTCAGCAGGCCATTAGCCAGAGGCTTGAAAAGCACTTTGCCAAGTAGCCCTGTCACCCTGCTCTGCAACAGCACTATTTGGAGGACTTCAAGTGTGAAAAGAACAACCACACCCACACACAAACACACTCTGGCCTGTCATACCTATTATGCATACTGTTTTTTTTGCAAAATTCTGTTTGCAAATCCTTCATTTGCAAATGCAGTTGGTATAAGACAGGTAGGGTATAATGAAGTAAATGTCATATGAGGGCAGAGGGACTGGAAAGTGCTGCGCGAGGAAGCAGGTGATGGAGAAACAAAGTGAGAATGGCAGGAGTGTTTGTGCCACTAATTGGAAAGTGGTTTGGAGAAATTAGCTGCATAATGAATGGAGAGCTGTTAGTCATATGTGAGTGCTGCGATGCTAGCAGCATGCAGTATGGCTTTCTGTTAAATTTCTACTGAGCTGTAACAGTTTGTAATGATGTACTCCAACTTTATTAATTTAAGGGAGTAAGACGTCTAAAAACAAGCATTGGGTCTTTTATATATTGTGGTTCATGACTTAGATCAAGATGGTGGCTTTAAGGGGATTGTTGCGGGTATTTATAATGAAAGTCTGTGCTTCTTAGTGGCCCACATCTCGTTTGCCATCTGTAAATATTATGTAAGAGTAACATCTGGACAGCCGGACTCCCTTACGCAGCGTCCACACGGCGGCGTGCGTTGAAGCTTGCCGGTGAGCTTGTCTGAAACTCGACCAACAACCAATCACATGAATCTCCCGTCCCGGACACAAGCACGCAGTTTGATTGGCTAGAGCTTGTACTGGCATATGATTCGATTGGCTGACGCTTCCGCCGAAGCTTCAAAAGTTGAACATTGCTCAACTTTTGCAGCAAGCAACACGAGCAAAGTGAAGCAACGCTCCCACAATGCAGTTCGGCAAAACGTGACGTCACCCCATTCAAAGTGAATGGGTAGAAGCGTTGAAGCGGCAACGCACGCCGCCGTGTGTAGGGGCCGTAACGGCCCGTCCACACGGCGCCGTGCGTTGAAGCTGAACTGCATTGTGGGAGCAAAGCGTAGCTTCTCTCGCGGTGCTCGCTGCAAAAGTAGAGCAATGTTCTACTTTTGCCGCCTCGACGGAGGCGTCAGCCAATCAAATCCCGC